AAGTACCCAAATTTTCTGACTTTCATGGTGCATAGCAATACATATTTTCCCAACCTTTTTTGTGGGGGGATTGAAGTGGATTTCATTGGTCAAGCAGGGGATAAATGGGTCCTGACAAAAATGGGTCTGTTGGAGAAAAATATTGATATTTATATTTTTGTTTCCTTAAAATTATGTACATGTACCTACAGCATAAGACAGGCACAGATTTAAGATATAGAAGAAAGCCACCATAGCACATTCACCCAGTTCAGTCTATGCATCTTCATGTCACTTACCAGGGCTTAGGGTTCTTCATCATGTGGCTACCTATTAATTCTTTTTTTTCTTCTAGAATGGGCAGTCGAATCCATGTTTATCCTAATGGATCCTTGTTTATTGAGGCAGTCACAGAAAAGGATGCAGGTGACTATTTATGTGTAGCAAGAAATCGAATTGGAGATGACCTGATACTGATGAAAGTCAGTGTGACAATGAAACCAGCAAAGATTGACCAAAAACAGTATTTTAAAAAACAGGTACCATATGGGAAGGACTTCAAGATGGACTGCAAAGCCTCTGGGTCACCTGAGCCAGAGATCTCCTGGAGCTTGCCAGATGGCACCATGATTAATAACGTGATGCAAGCTGATGACAGCGGACACAGGTCTCAGAAGTACATTCTTTTTGACAATGGAACTCTGTATTTCAACAAGGTTGGAAAAGCTGAAGAGGGAGATTACACCTGTTACGCTCAAAACACACTGGGAAAAGATGAAATGAAGGTACACATTACAGTTATAGCAGCTGCACCTCGTATAATGCAAAATTACAAGACACATGCTAAGGTAAAAGCTGGGGATAATGCAGTGTTTGACTGCGAGGTTGTTGGCGAACCCAAGCCAAAAATATTTTGGTTGCTACCTTCCAGTGACCTGATTTCAGCTTCAACTGACAGATATTTACTGCATATTAATGGTTCGCTGTCAGTCAGTAAAGTGAAACTATTGGATGCTGGGGAGTATGTATGTGTTGCCCGTAATCTTGGAGGGGATGACACAAAACTTTATAAACTGGATGTTGTTTCTAAACCACCCCTGATAAATGGTTTATATACGAACAAAACTGTCATTAAAACAACAGCAATAAGGCACTCAAAAAAGCAAATAGATTGCATGGCAGAAGGGACACCTTCCCCTCAAATTATGTGGATAATGCCTGACAATATTTTCCTAACAGCTCCATACTATGGGAGCCGAATAACAGTACACAAAAATGGGACCCTTGAAATTAGGAATGTAAGGCCTTCAGACACAGCAGATTTTATATGTGTGGTACGTAACGATGGAGGAGAAAGCATATTGGTAGTGCAGTTGGAGGTATTAGAAATGCTAAGACGACCAATGTTCAAAAATCCATTCAATGAAAAAATAATAGCAAAAGCAGGAAAAACCATCATATTAAATTGTTCAGTGGATGGAAATCCACCTCCTGATATCATTTGGATATTACCCAATGGCACACGAATTTCCAGTGGAGCCAGAATTTCCCAGCATCGCATCGGCAGTAATGGTACCCTCATCATTTCTGATCCTTCCAGAGATGATGCAGGGAGGTATCGCTGTGCAGCTAGGAATAAAGTGGGCTACATTGAAAAGCTGATCATCCTAGAAGTTGTCCAGAAGCCCATTATTCTTACTAATTCAAGAGGACTAATAAAGAGAATCACTGGGGAATCATTATCCCTCCATTGTCTCTCTGATGGAAGCCCGAAGCCAAACATTATATGGACAGTACCAAGTGGTTTTGTGCTAGATCGGCCTCAGATTACTGGGAAATACATATTACTTGAAAATGGTACTTTAGTTATCCAAGAAGCAACGATTCATGACAGAGGAAACTACATGTGCAAGGCTCAGAACAATGCTGGAGAGTCATCTATAACTGTTCCTGTAGTGACTTTAGCTTATCCCCCACGGATTACAAATAGACCACCACAGAGCATACGCACTATGACTGGAGCAGCAGTTCAGCTCCACTGTATGGCACTGGGAATACCAAAACCAGAAATCACATGGGAGCTGCCTGACCACTCTGTGCTTTCCCCAACTAGTAAAAGCAGATCATCTGGAAGTGAACTACTTCATCCCCAAGGGACATTAGTCATTCAAAATCCAAAATCTTCAGATTCTGGCATGTACAAGTGCACAGCTCAGAATCAGTTTGGCAGCGATTTCACAACAACATATATTCAAGTTGTTTGAAATGAGAAATACAGACTGAACAATTATTAAAAGTCTCCATCTGAACTGAGTTTATTTGTGGAAGAAATTTAATCAAAAGCAGCCATGAAGCATGTAGGTAAATCCAAATACATTTATAATAATCAATGTACAATGCTGAACACACACAGAGAACACATTTGGGGAAAAAAAATTGCATTGTGAACTAGCATGAATTTACTCAGTGACCAAAATAGAAGTCAATTAAAAAATAATAAGGCACTTTTTTAGTCATAAGTGAACTACTTGCTAAAAATGTATCTGAAAAATCTTCAGTAAAGAATGGACTTTTTTATATTAGTTTCTTATTGTCCCTCTTGTATCACTATAATAAGCATGGCAAGCACAATGCAAAAATATTTAAGAACAAAAAAGAGGAAAGTTTATTGTGATTTAAATTGCCTGATATGTATGAATATTTTGTAGTTATTTTATAAATATTTCACAAAAAATAAGAGTTTTGCTATTTTTAATAATATGACTTTCTATTCTTTTACAATGGAGCTCTTTTCCCAGGGCAGTAGGAGAAATACAAAATGATTTACTAATGTTCTCTAAATGGACAATACGGTTCCTATTCATCTTTGTTTAAAAATTACAAAGCAATAAAACATGCTTATGAAAACACTCAAGGTTGGTATAATGTCCTTTTTACCACATGTTCAGCTTCTAAAAATTTCAGTTTTTTAAAAGAAGTGCATAAATCTGTATAAGAATTTAGAATGAAGGGAGCACAAATAGAAAATAGTCTTCCCAAGTACCTGCCTCCTGTAATTCAGGAGATAGCCCCTTTAAAACAGGAAATGGCCACTTAGACATTCTGCACCAGAGAAGATTCCCTGGGCCAAATAAACCTCAAAAGCTTACATGCCTAATGATTCGTCTTTCTAAGAGAGGTGTTAAGGTAGGTACAAAAGTCCGAGCACAACCTCTAAAACCACCACAGAACCTGAGTATTTCTGTGAAATGCTGGGCCTAGCCTCACAGATTTGGGACATATGCATGGAGCAGAAGCCCCTCAATGTTACTCCTCAAGGTCCTTTACACACAGGCTGGTTTTGCTGCCACTGGTTCCCATGCCCATAACCTGAGCTCTGTGAGCCCTTTCAACAGGGATCCTAGATTGCAAAATAGAAATTAATGCCTCTTAGCTGTGACAACAGAAAATCTGTTGGATACAGAAAACAGTGTAGAGCAGCTGCTATCATGTAACACCATCCTAGTACCTCACCTCAGTGAAATGCCATACAATCTTTATTACTGACAAAATATGTATTGCTCCACTGCACATAAAAAGCCCCATAATAGAGACCCTCCCTATATTCTAACAAAGCAACACACCTTCCCTCAACCCATCTATTGAATTAACCCATAGGTCATGCACACTCTTGACAATCAGAGCATGGTCAGTATTCTCCCCAAGATCTGACTGAAGATTTTACCCCAGTTGACAAAATATTAATCAATAGGGAAGAACTTTAAAAAGAGCATCAGCCACCACATAACTGACAGTTTTGTGATGAATCAATCACTTCCTGATGACAGCTGTACACATATATACTAGCTGCTTGTTCCTTCCTTCCTTAGTACTGATAGAGAAGTAGTGAAAAATAGGCTGAATTAAATAGTTCTCTTCGCTTAATCTCAAGAGTGCTTTTTTTTGATCACCAAAGATGAGCACTGAAGGACAGTTGCCATGAAATTAACAAATAATCTCACTCCCATTATAAACCCGTGAAGGGAAGTAATCCTAGGCCATGGGAAATCAAAATGTATTTTCACTGAAAAAGCAGCAAAGATTAGAACTGTTCAAAGACCTGCCACTAATATGGTGGTATAAATCTTCTGAATTGTGGTCACGTAGAATTATGATTCTAATTTGCTGTGAGGTTCAAAGATATTAGGAATCATGAGTTGGTGGCAAAGATTACCTAGCCAGCACCAAATCTTTGCATCAAAAAGTTGTCAATTTGTTGGTTGTTTTTCAAAAAGAGCTTTTGATCGTTTTTACTGAATAACTTTGACTCGAGCAGAGTCAAGGCCCAAGAACTTTTGGGGTTTTGCAAGACATAAGGGCTGTGTCTACATTGACATCCCTTTCCGGAAAAGGGATGCTAATGAGACACTTCGGAATTGCAAATCCGCGGGGGATTTAAATATCCCCCGCGGCATTTGCATTTACATGGCTGCCGCTTTTTTCCGGCTCGGGGTTTTTGCCGGAGAAAAGTGCCAGTCTAGACGTGATTTTCCGGAAAATAAGCCCTTTTCCGGAGGATCCCTTATTCCTACTTTCAAGGGATCCTGGCTCGGGGTTTTTGCCGGAGAAAAGTGCCAGTCTAGACGTGATTTTCCGGAAAATAAGCCCTTTTCCGGAGGATCCCTTATTCCTACTTTCAAGGGATCCTCTGGAAAAGGGCTTATTTTCCGGAGAATCGCGTCTAGACTGGCACTTTTCTCCGGCAAAACCCCGAGCCTGAAAAAAGGGGCAGG